TCCCTTGCACCCCCTCTGGCCAGGGGGAATGTGCAACCCCCACCCCCCGCACCCGCTGACCCCAGTAAATTCACCCCTGTTGTATAGCCACATTAATAGACCTTATCAACTATTTATAAACGTGTGTACCTCTACCTGCATATTTTGCCAGTTTGTTTCATTTTGATCAGCCAGAATGCAAGAAAATAATGTGATACATAAGGTCTAGCAAGATTTGAAAAACTTCTGGACCAGATCTCCATTTCTGTGTATACAGAAACAGAAATTCTGACAGGTCTGGCCATTTAATACACGAGCAAATATGACAAATTTCATACGTCAAAGATATTTTGCTCATGTAGATGATAAATTTGTGACAAATTTATTGTGACAAATGCATTTGAACAAAAGCTAGCATGCTACCTTTTGATCAAATGCATTTGATCAAATGAAATTTGTTGTGCCTTACGTACGTATATATACACTAATACACCTGTAAATGGATAACTTAAATTAGTTATAGTTAAATCCAGGCATGTTTTTTTCTTCTGCTCTGCTTGGAAAATATTTAAGTATTTTAATTCAATTCATATCCTCATGTATAAAAGTACTATAGAATTATTATATTAGTATTATTGTACAATACGTATTTATATATTACTAGTATATTCCATATATATTCATTTAACTATATTTCATATGTTATACAATATACTACTAATACTTTTGCTATATATTTATACCAACCTAGTTTATATTTAGACAGTTTAACTAGTGGGCAACAGGCTCTTGTATATATGCCTTTTCAGATCTTGCATGGGAACACTGTATACTGCAAGCTTTACATGTAAAAGCTCAAAGTTGTTCAGATTTGTAATGTGTAATAATATGTACCTGTAGTGTTGAATGTGCCATATTTGCGAAACTGCTTCACCACCACAAGGAAAACAACTTCATGCAGACTACTTCACCAATATTTGCTAATTATTTGAGTACTTCAATCAGTCGCATTAATGCTTGTCATTTGACTTTGGCACTTGACTTTGGCGTTCAAGAATACTATATTTTCCAGGTATAGCTCATATTGTTGGTCGTTTGTATGTCTATGACTTCCTTTCAGATAAATAATAATATAGATTTACACAGGTGTGTATAAAAGGAAAGTGAACAGAATTTGAAATCGTTATCAATTTCGCAAAACAGCTCTTGGTATCAATTTTCCAAATCCGGAGGGTGTCGTTTATCAACAGAATTAAAAATCGCTTGCTCACGAAGATTAAAAGCTGAAAACGCGTTTTGAGTTCACGGGCGTAATACCTGTTCTGTGTTTTATTTATGGTAAAAATGTCAAAACATTTACTTAATTAAATGTCCTTCGCCGCTGAAACTTGCGCAAGCGAAATTCTGAGGTGTAATTTTGGTAAAATTTAGCCATGAAAAGTGGAATGACATTTCGTCAAAACTTTTTTCTTCAAGATTGGTTTTAGAAACAAACTGGGCTCTGCTCTTTATCTTTAAACTGAGATTTCCGCCTGGTGTATTAATTGCCACAATATTAGGTTAGGGTAAGGATTTGGGTTAGAGTTGGTGTTTGGACCGTTGCTTTGTTACGTTCTGTCACTCTGAGGCCAGCGAAATAACCTCTTCCCAAAAGGCATATCCTGCGTAGGTGTAGCTTTATTTTATTGAACATTTTGAGGAGTTTTGAATAAATGGCGGGTTACAAAAAAGGCGAAGAAAAAAGAGTAAAGAAAAAAATGGCGAGAAAAAAGGGTAAAGAATAAAAGGGCGATAGAAAAATAAAACGCCTGCAACCACTTTTAAAAATTAATTCCCCGTTCAGATTCCACTTACAGTATTCAAATCCTCAAACCTTCAATAAAATAAAGCAACTGCTATGCAGGCTACAAAATGCATAAATATTGTGAAATTAAGCATGAAAGGGATAAATGGCAAAGTTTGTACGAGTATTTGAAATTTTTAGTGCTGATTGGGGTTGTTGGTGCTATTTTACAGATGACTGAAGATCAAACATCAAAAGTTTGCCTGTCTCTTTTGGTACAAATAAGCGAAAGATCTCGTGGAAGACAAATGTAAATGAATTAAGTGTACCAGACTATGACAATATCAATAGAGAATTTAAGAAAGTGTTTGCTGACCTAGTTCCACTTGAAGAAAATATAGTATTTCAGAAGTGGGATCAGGATTTTGAAGATTGGGTGGACATTAATCCGCATCAATCAGTTGAAAACATGTCAAAGCTGAAAGCTTTTTGTCAACAACAACAAGGCGGCGAGCTGGGTAATAAGAAACCAGCTGAACATGAATTGGAACATGGGGATGTGATGAAGAAAACCGGTCATGAGACTTCTCATTTATCTGCTCAGCGTACAATTGGAAAAGATGGTAAACTTGGACCACGTGTTTCTATTCAATCAGAGGAGGAGGAACGCACAAAGAATGTAGTAAAAGTAGGTGTAAATGTTGATGATTTAAAGGCAGATAGTAAACTGTTTGGTCAAAAATCTAAAAATGATGATGATCTTACTACATGGCAAAAGAAGATGAATGAAAGTGCTTTATTATTATGTATGGAAAACCCATCACTGACATTAAAAAGAGGCGAGCTGCTTGAGAAGGCCAGAGAGAAAGTCGACAATGACGGTTTTGTTTACAAGAAAGGAAAGTCACGATCAAAGAAGTATGGAGCTGCATCAATGGAAGAGAACAAGGCAAAAAGACCAAAGCTGGAAGCCAATGAGAGAAGAACATTGATCGAAGAGACAAAAATTTCAATCAATGAGCAAAATGAGAAGCTAGCAATGCTAGAACGAGAGAAGTGTAAGTTAGTTAACATGAAGCAGTTTGGATCAGCATCAGTAATCCTCGATAGAATCAGCTCTGCAAGAAAAGAGAAAGGTCAATTGTCTAAAAAGCTTGGCGCTTTAGAGCAGAAAGAAGCTAAGTCAATAAAAAGGAAGCTTGCATTGACGGAAAGAGAAAAGGACACTGGGCAGAAAGGAAATAAGAAGATGCCCGGTTGTGAGAATAAAGGAAATTTGATGGACAAATATCTGAAACCTCAAACAGCAGTTGATAATAATGTTCAGGAGGAAATACAAGTGGTGGAGGAAAACAACCAGAGTGTGCGGGAGAAGGATCCAGTTAGTGAAGTGGGAAAAGATAATGAAACAAATGAATCAGACGAGAAAGACCTTTTTTTAGAAGACGCGGCACTGGCTTTTGAAACTGAAAATGTACATACGGACACATATTTGAAGTATTTAAGATATGCACGTTCACCTTTAGGAAAAAAGGAATTGTATAAGATATCAAGTGGCGTTTATATTTCACAGTTAAAAGACTTAACCCTTGATGATTACATAGCATGCAGGCAGCAGTATTGTACTAACTTTCATAATCTGAAAGGTGTTATTTCAGCATGCAGTCAGTGCCGCGGTCTTGTAAATACAGCTAAAGAAATTCAGCAAAAGGGAATGATCAAAGTCAGTGACACATTTAAGAAACATTTTGGTGAAGTAACATATTCAAGTGAGAAGGCAGTTCGCAGGTTCATGGGCCTTCCAGTCGCTGTTTTTGAGTTGGGTAACGCAAGTAATGGAACACAGGCGTTGTTTATGATAGAACAATACCCAGGTATTGACTATATCAAATATGTTGACTTAATCAAGTCCGCTAGTAGTAGCACCGCAGGCACTACTTCTTTCCCCATTATTACAAAAGAGAAACTTGTAGCCCTGTGTGAATTGGCATCTTCTGAAAGGGATCGAAAGCTTATTAAGTATGCGATGTGTGCAGATCTCTCTAATAAGAAAGCGAAGAAGTATGGAATATCTGATTGGAACAGCCAAAAAAATGAAATAGAAAGTGCCATAATCAGGGTTGAAGAAATTAGAAAGCAAATCAATGAATTAGCTTCCATAGAAGAAGCAACTGTTCTTAGAAACTATGGCATCGAAATTGAAAGTGATGATGAGAGTCTTGTATCAACCGAATCTGGGGAAACATGTACTTGGCTTAGCGAGAAAGAATTTGAATCAGAAGATGATTCAGAAAGTGATCAAGATGGAAAAATGGCAGATGATTGTATATCAGACTCGCCCATTAATCCTAATAGAGAGCGAAATGAAAATGTACCTCCTGATCCACCGGAATGTAGCGTTCCATCATTTGAGCATTTAATGTGCATTTTGCGCCAGAGTAAACTAAACTGGTTTTTATTTGTTGAAAATGTTGCAACAGCTACACGGACGCTTTCTGCTGATGTAAGAAGCCAGCTTTTGAGTAATTTTGCTTACTTCCTATCTTCGAGTGACTTGACTGAAGATGAAGAGAAACAGGTAGAAGAATCTAGACAATCATTTCTTCTCTACCAGAGGGATAGAATTGAAAACGATCGAACGGTAAATATGTTACAGGGAACTGTATGCTCTGATTCAGAATCAGACAATCCTGACGAGTGGATTGATGTTCCAGATATTCGTGCTGAGGCTGGAAAAAAGTTGATTCAGAAAACAAGGAGAAGTATTCGTCAGAAGGCAAAACGACGGATAGCAACGCGTATAGCCGAAGAATGTCTCCTGAAGCGGAGAATTCCTAAATGCGTAGGACGTGTTCTTCGAGATTTTCCGGACATTGGAAAAGAAATTGAACAATTTGTTCAATCAAGGAGAGTAGGGGCGGACGCCTGGAGACGAACTGGTATCTTAACTTTCGATGGTAACGTTAAACAGGGTCAGAAAGTTACATTCAAACGAATAAAGGAACATCTGGAAAAAAAATACAAAACTACGTTTAGCTATGGCACAATAGTGCAGCTGTGTGTAGTAAGAAACAAAAGGAGGTTATCTGCAAAGAGGTATAAAGGTGTTGCCCGCATTACATGCAGGAGAGCAAGGAAAGGATTCTCCCTGCGATTTAATCCAGATGCGCACTGGAGCTGCTCACTTTACAAGGGTCTGAGTAAGGTCCAGTTGCATGATGGAACTGACAAGTGCGTCTTTAACCGCGATGATGCAGCTGGTTTTCGGTTAGACACTACCTATACACACAAACAAAACAAACTGGTTTCGTCTTCAAATTCCACAGAAGTGACAACTCGTACAGATTTTGTGAACAAATATTCTTCCGTTTTGCAGGTGACATCATACTTGATCATGGAAACTGAAAATACTTCTGATTTATGTGCAGCTGTCGTTAAAGGCCAAGCGAGCTTCAACAAGAATCCAGCCCAACACCTCTCTGATCTGACAATGCTCCAAAACGTTGAATCATTTAAGGATGCTTTCAATAAAGATGTAGAATGTGTACGAGTGGACGGTGCCGCTGATGAAGGGCCTGGACATGAAGAAGTCCAATTTTACTTGACTGAGAGACATTTGAGCAAAGTATGTACTATTGTGTCTGCAAGACATAGCGGAGGAAGTTACTTGAATAAAGTTGAACTGCTAAATGGATGCATCTCTGTGGCTCATTCTAATGTGTTTATACCTTCAACGCTCAATGGGCCATGCCGCGCTGCTGATGGCTCAATCGATGAAGAGAAAGTTAAAAGTAACCAAGAAACAGCATCGGACGTGTATATCGATCGTGTTTCTGGCGCAACGTTTAATGAGAGGAAAATATATTTCACAAAAGGTGCAAGTGATGCTCAAGCAGATTACAATCAGAGTAGAAGAGATCATCTTCTCACATTCTTGAAGGGAAACAAAGAGCAAAAGGCTATCCTAAAGAAAGAACAGCCAACTCTGTTTAAGTATTTCGAGGAAGTTTGGATGGTACGAAATAGCCATATGCTAAAAGGGTTACCTAGTCAATATATCTTTGCACTCCTGCTATGCTACAAAAAAGACTGCATTCATAAATTATGTCAAAAAGGTAAACCAGACGAGGATAGGCGTTGGTACAAGGATGGTCCATTGCTGTCACATATTCCCCTCCCAATTCCTGACCCCAAACGGCCTTGGGGTAGTAACACTTGCACTGAATGTCAGTCTTTTTGTGCTGGGCATTTTCTTTCTCCAGAGGAACATTTTAAACACGTCTCAGAATATGGCACTAAAGATTGTCATTTTTCCCCACCAAGCCAGGTAATAAAAACTGAGTTTAACAAAAAGGCGAGGCAAGCCCAACCACTGGATGAAGCTACCAAAATATGCTTGGCGAAGAAAACTTTACTCAACAAAGAAGAAGTCGAAATGTCGGTTGATCACTTGTCGTGCTTGGCAGAACATAGGCGAGCTGGTGCAAAAAAAGCTGCCAAAACCCGGGCTAAAAATAAAGGTACACATGTTGTTGTCATTTAGATATTTGCAGTATGATGTTGTCATCTAGATATTTGCTACATATATATACTGCTATAGTTTATATACAAAACGCATCTCTCCTTGACAATGTGTTCGTTTGTTTGTTTAGCCCAGAAAAGACCGCTCTACTGCTTCTGTCAGAAGCCAGATGATGGGGACAAAGCAATGGTCGCATGCGACAATCCTACATGCAAGTTCCAATGGTTCCATTTTGAATGTATTGGCCTTGATGAAGAAGAAGAATTAATTTGGGAATGGTTTTGCCACTTGTGTGTTTCTACCTATAAAAACACGAAATAAAATTATCTCTGCTATTTTTACTATATATGTTTCGTTGTACCATTGACTATTGTCAATTAGTATTTTTGCACAAGTGAACATAACAAATCCTACAAGTTGATTGGTCAAATTTGACGCATTACAGTATAAAGATGTTTAATATATTCAGGGTCTACAGGTGAAAATAAAAAAACTGAAATTTTCAAAATGGCGGCTAGCAGTTTTGTGGAAGCTACTGATAGAGAAATAAGCAAAATTAAAATAAATTCAGTCCCAAAATACACAAAAGACTTGTGTAAAAATACTAAAACAATTATTCGCCTCAGGCTTGGTGATTATCGGGGAATATTCAACTCGACTTCGTCTCGGGCCTCTCGGCGAATATTCCCTGATAATCACCAAGCCTGAGGCGAATAACTGTTAATTAGTACGTTGTTCTGTTCATTAATAATAAAGTTGTAATTGATATTTATATTTGCATGAAGTGTGTACTTTTATACAGAATTTTCAGTTGAAAAAAAATTGTAGTTTTGTCAGATTGCCCCTCCAGGGTGGGGGGTTTGGGGGGGTTTTGTGGCAAACATGCCCGGGTAGGGTGGGGGTTTTTACACTTTAGAACCAATGTCAAATCAAATCCCCACTATGTCCCGGGTGGGGGGGGGGTCGGGGTGTCAATTGATAGGTGCATAAGTCAGGGGGGGGAGTTGAAGCCGTGCTTGAAGCTTTTTTTTTAGGTAGACCCAGTCCTTTTTAATTTTTTTTTTCAAAATATGCACATTTTTTGATCAGAAAAATCTTGCCCCAAAATATTAGTTATACTACCAAATTTAATTTATATCAGTAGTATGATAAATGAATTTAATATTCGCAAAGCAAACAAATCACGAATTAGCAAAAAAAATGCGAAAAACACGACCATAAGCATGAACGGTCTGAAAAACCGCGCGTTTTAGGCTGCTTTTTCTGAGTTTTTGGAAGTTTAAGATAAAACTAAGACGTCATACCTCAGGAATTTTTTATACCCATGCAAAATACATCTGTATGCGAAGTTTCAAGAAGATTGAACGTTTTAAGGTCGAAAAAAAAGCATTTGAAAATTGACAAAAATATTGCCATATTCAAAGTGCTCATAGTGGCCAACAAGATGCCGATGACGAAAATAACATCACTTGAAAAACGCCAATTTATTTATGTTTAAAAGCGACTAAAACAAGGACTAAAAGCTCAGGATCAATAACAATACCTGGGGTTTAGTACAACATAAGTTTTGGGACTGTCAAAATGTTTTATAGTATATATTTTTGAGTTGAACGGCGAGATTTCCTTCGGCACGTCCAAACTTTCGTCATTTTTTCAAAATACAAAAGCAAAATTCCTTACTTTTTGCTGCAGAGAGATGTAAAACAGTCGGAACTAATCGGAAACTTGGTTTAAATCCCAATCATTGTTGTATTCCCATGGGAAAAGTGTTTTTCTTGCACATTTTTGCTCGAAAACAAACTTTTGACAGAATTTTTTTTCCTCCTCGAAACTCTCCTTAGTCCTTTTGAAAGCTGATTTTCCCGCGCGCCGGCTTCAACGAATCATGGACTTTCATCATAGGAGCAGTGAACTCTCTCTCTCTCTCTCTCTATATATATATATATATATATATATATATATATATATATATATATATATATATATATATATATATATATATATATATATATATATATATATGATATTATGGTACATCAATATACTGATGAATAGTAGCAAATTTAATAGCATATTCACATCAACTTTGCACAATGGGCAAATATGTATGCAAATACTGGAAGTCAGTTAATGCTATAGACATATAATATATTACTAATTTTGTGATGCTCTTTCAAGCTGTGATGAAATTTTTGTCTACTGTAGATCAAAATTTAGTCTATAATGCAAATGGTCCATTTAGTCCAGGAGGAGAAAGGGGGGTATCGTAACCCGAAGTAGGGAATTTATGAGAATATGTGACTTTGGTCAATTTTGTGGCGCTGATTTCAAAAATCGATGTTATACGGGCCAATACCGGGGCCTTCAGCCTCTTTTTGATGCATACAGCCTCGTTTGGGGCACATATAGGGAACACGTTAGTTGTCTTAGTTAGCTAGGGAAACCAGTGATTTTGGTCAATTTCGGTGCGCTGATTTCAAAAATCGATGTTACACGGGGCAATACCAAGGCCTTCAGCCTCGTTTTGGTGCATGCAGCCTCGTTTTGGTGCAAATAGATGGAAATCATTAGTTCGCTTAGATAGGCAAAGTCGTTGGTGATCTTGGTCAATTTCGGTGTGCTGATTTCAAAAATCGATGTTACACAGCAAACTACCGAGGCCTTCAGCCTCGTTTCGGTGCATACAGCCTCGTTTTGGTGTCTACATATGTGCCTTAGATAGCCAAGGAAGTTGGTGATTTTGCTCAATTTCGGTGCGCTAATTTTAAAAATCGAAGTTATATGCGCAGATATATTGGAACCTCTAGCCTCCGTTTGATACACATATCCTTGATTTAGTGGAACTATTGGGAAGATCCTACTTAAACAAGCAAGAAATTAAGGTAGTGATTTCTGCTCTTTTTGATAAAAAGCAATACTGTTGCCCATTAAATTGAGGTCATGTTATGCATTGCATTAAAAAACATGTACATTCTGATCACAAACCTCGCACTTTCCTTTTCAAAATTCATTTGTGTCTTCAATTTCCACATCCAAATCATCCTCGTAGTCATCATCGGAGGACAAACTGTTCTAACTCTCCGTGCCTGCGAGTAGCGCATCAATCTCCCCGGGATAGGAAATGTCACTCCTTCACGCTTCCATCTCCGTCCCATCCATGCTCGTCGGGGCTCTCAAGTTCTACTAGCAGCTGATCGGCGTGTCAAAAGATGTACGCGACATAGTTAACTCTCATGATGTGATGATGAAAATTTGACTGGCATAGTGGCATTAGACAAAGGTCAATGATCTTTTTCTTGTTGAACTTGTTCCAAAATACTTTCTTCCTTGCCTCATTGACTGAGAGGATGCGTGGATGTCCGTATATAGAACAGACGAACCATTCTAAACACCGAATCAACTCCTCGCTTGCTGTCACCTCCGTACTCAAAGATGAAAATATATCGATAAAGGCAGTGTTCTTGGTCACGGCTTTCCACACGGCCTGCTTTTCCTTTCGAAAAAAGCTAGATACATAATTGTCCGGAAAAGGCATGCGTTCCCAAAAGAGCTCATCTGCGACCAAGGGACAATCCAGTTGACGTCACGTCGATGATTTTCCTGTTCTTCTCGCTGCCATTGTCAATTGGAATCTGCGTGTCCGAAAAATTGTGACCAATAAACAAGCTAAGGTTATTATGTATACATCACCAGATGGCGACCGTACCATTGCAGTTGAGCTAGATGGCAATTGGCTAGCATGCACAAATGCAACGAGTTTATTACCAGAATTAACCAGCGACCGCGAGGAAGCGGACAAAAAAACTCATTGCATTTGTGCATGCTAGCCAATTGCCACCTAGCTCAACTGCAATAGAACGGTCGCCATCTGGTGATATAAACATAACAAGACGCCTGCTCAGGCGTTCACACTGGCCTTAGCGGTTGGTAAAACAGTAAAATACCATTGCAATATTCTAAAAAATAGGTACATAGTGCTTACATGTTGCATGCCATCAAAACCATGAAACCTCACGACTCAGAATACTATACAGAAATCATGGCCATCTCCATTGTTTTCTGTGTACGTGCTATTTGTCATGATTTGTCAGTCGGCAAGTACAGTAAACAGAAGCAGTTACCCCCTGGCACTGAACAAAGATACACAGAATGTCAATTAGAGCATAGTCCAAAACATGGTCTGGAAACTCAGTAAACTTCAAAGCGGTTATAATGAGCTGGGATTTTACGTTGAGCCGTACCTTGAACCATGTACATCCTTTGTTTTAGGTTTATTAATATTTAACTAACATGGTTGAATGACTGAATTGAAACGTCGCTGTTGGATGATTCGTTCATTATACTGAAATACAATGTGTTCATAATTGACTGTGCACCGTGCACAAAACTGCATAAACGCAAAACAAAAAGATAGGACAAAGACTTTAGCGGTGTTTCCAAACCATTTTTTGAAAGACTGTAATTAGAGTAAACGCTGCCACGTCCCAACCAGTGCGCACCAAAGAGGCACCCCCCCCCCTGGACGTCTATCATTTTGAATATTATCAGGGGGGTAAATGCCTCCCAAAAGCGCACCAGCCAGGACCATGACATCAGCATTTTGATGATGAATTACGGTCACGCCAAAATCATTGGAAAACCATAAGAAAAAACAATAAATTGGGCTTCTGTATGACCGACCCTGTGCCCTGGTAATGATGCGCGACCGCTTATAACTTTTGGTACAACTGATCTGAAACTTAAAATATTGATTCAATAAGTTGAAGATCAATATATTGTTTGAAAAATAGCTATTATGTCAAAATTAGAAAACTTAAGATTCTCACGCGAATAAGCAATGTTTTTATGAGCGTCTGTTCATCATTAGTTGCCAACGA